AAACTACCTGACTAAGACCTTGAAAAATATCTATCAACCAATCAGATGTATTCGAAGCAGAAGCGCGTAATTTGAAAAAAAGACTTTTATATAAAAGTAATACAACGTTAAAAAGTAATTATTGTAGAATAACTTCAGTTTATATGTTCGAATGAAACTACGAAGTTTCTCGTAGGAGTCCTCATACTTAGATATAACCAACTTTTATGCGTAAATTTTTCGAGACAACTATAAATCATTGTTTTCCTTGACTCATTTACCTCTTTTTTTAATGGGATTCTAGAAACTTTCGATGAAATTTGTGTGGGTGTCACAGAAAGCATTAACTAAAATCGTCTGTATAATTGACCTCGTTGTGAATATAGTCCAGGGATGACAGTTACCTACATTTTGTCACCCTTCCAGTGAGCCTGTGGTTCAAGAAGTATATAAATACCAGATGTGGATGAAATTTAGGACATAATTCGTGTACAGCGCCTATAATTTCGCTCAACGTCATTAACCCACTCAATGAGTAGTGGTTTAGTTTTCGGACGCTGTAATTTAGAGTCAGCCTATCTAGCTGTCATTAGTTAGTTAGAGACTGATATTTAGATTGTGATTTTTTTTGTAGAATTCAGGGGTTATTGGATTCCAGCCAAAGTGGCTCTATGGTCAATCCCAAGGCTCTTGACCGGTGTGCACCGGACAAGATAGGACAAGATAGCTGTCCAGTGCCCTCTCGTTCCCCACGATCTCTAAATAGTGTTATTTTGTGATGACGTTTACCCTGGGATTATATTTTGTGTAGTTCAATACCAAGTGAATAGGATTATAATTTGGTGAAAGGTAAATAAAACTCTGCATTCCAAAGTTGTAGGTTTTATTGGCTTAGAAAAATCCTTGTAATACTAATGAGGACACATTTGTAGAATTTCGTCCATCTTTATTCATCGATTCGTCTTTACCCTCAGCCGTTTAGCTTTCAGGCTGTATGAAGTTTTATTAATACTTTCGTGATATCAGTCCATCCTACTTAGGACTACATAGTCAGATGAACCTGTACTCCCACTGAGTGATGATGCTAAGAATCAAAAGTGGTATCCATTCAAACAATGGGCTCCTAAAAGATCGAAATATACTTCCTAAAATTCTACTGCTTGTCACTACTAAACAAGTGACTATCTGTCGATAATCATGATAACCGTTGAGGTTATCATGACCCTGATTAATTGGAAATCAGGTATCAGATTTACCACAAAAATTGCACCAACAGGCTCTACTGGTTCATGTGATCGGTATACAAACACTCATCCCAGTAAATCAGTAGTATCAGGAATTCATCATGAATTGACATCGGTTAGAGGATAATTAGAATACCTGGGAGTAATAAAACGCCGTTTCATCTTAGTTTTTGACTATTCATCAGTAAATCCACGACCCACTGAGTTTAGAAGCCAACATATTCTGGTTACAAGTCGAGTTCGTAGACCATCAAGTCACTGGGACCGATCCAATGGCCAGACCATGAATTCCAACTTATACCATTTCACGATATGACACGATCAATAGCCATTGTCATACTTGGAGTGTATTTGTTCTCACGTTCGACATGCTATACTGCTAGGTTTTAGTGAGAAGTCAAGACCACTGGGGTACAGCAAGTTGGGTGTGAGGGCAAATACACGCCAACATTGACATTGGCTAGTGGTCACGTCATATCATGAATTGGTAGGAGTCGGAACTCATTGGCTGGCCACTGGATCCGGTCTAAAAGCTCACATTTTAACCAATAGGTCCTAGATCCGAACCCCTGTTGTGAGTACGTACTGATGTAGAGTCCCCAAATATGAAGAAAGTGGGCTTTCTAATACTTCCAACTAGTTTTCCAATCGTTCTCTAACAGATGTCAGTCCATGACTAGATCCTGAAACCAATCAAATTTAATGCCAACTAACTCTTGAAAATCAGTAGTACATAACATCATGCATTTACTTTTACTTTCTGGATTACCATTTACTTTATCAAGCAGATAACATATTGTGGTGTAAATAATTTTGGTTTCCAAAGGTAACTGTTGTAAAATTTCACCTCCTACAACTGTGCAATTTGCAAGTTAGCATCCAATTAGGAACTGGAATTTTATTTAGCATGCGGACAGAAAGAAACAAGTGGGCTGTTGTGAAACATTTTAACACTTTCCCGTTACACTACTTCTTATACAGTAGTTTATTTTGAAGTCTTCGATCAAGATCACCAGATGAATGAATGGGCTTGCCTATTAGCCTGAGCACTGTCAGTGTGACTTTCGATCGGTGTATTGGGTGAACTGTTATATCTGTAGGGAATTGAATGAAGACGTTTTCACCTTATTCTGTCTGCGCCTGAACTAATCTGCCTATCTGCTTGTCGTACCTTCCGATTTAGTAAAGCACGCAAATATCAAAAGACAAAGGCTGGACTGTGACTGTGTATTGAAGTGCAACAACGATAAAGAAAGCCATGGTATTTATACATTTTACAACAATATGGACAGCTAACAGCATTTGAAATAATTGACCTTAATAGCCAATAACAAAGTGCGTGAGAGATGATAATATACCATATGTGCGAGGTTGACAGTCAGTAACAAAATGTGTGGGAATGATAATATACCATATATACAAGATTAGCAGTCACTACCAAAATGTGTGAGAATGATAATATACCATATATACAAAATTAGCAGTCACTACCAAAATGTGTGAGAATGATAATATACCATATATACAAAATTAGCAGTCAATACCAAAATATGTGGGATCCTATCATGAACGATACTAAAACAGTACACCGGAAAGTCAACACAATTGATACAAAAACTTCAAAGCAAAGAAAACATTATAAAATAAAGTTGTTTTTCCCCGGGAAGATGAAAAAACGATGATTTAGGCTAGTGAAAGCCTTCAAGAATCCAGTCAGTCAGCCAGTTAATGTGAATTTCTTCAATGAAACCACAAATAAGCATTGGAACATTGATTAGCTAAACGATGTTTGAGATTAGCTAGAAAAGCTATCCAGATAAAAGTCATGCGATCATTTAGAAAGCGGCCAACATGATGTCATGAGTGGCATCAAAAGCTGTTGTGTAGTAAAGGGGGATCAGATAGGCATCGAATCAGCTGAAAAATTTATCACCTTTTCAAGAAATATGAAAAAGGAAATAGGGATGGATTGGACGTTGCAAGGCGTCACTTATCAAGCGTATGAGTAGAGCAAAAACACGGAACGACCATTTAAGCATGGAGAAGGCAATGGAAGGCTATGAGCAATCGTGAAACCGGCTAAAAACAGGCTGTAGAAAATAGGGTAAAATGGCGGTATGTTTCCGTAGCCCTAGCAATAATAGTAATAATCCAATAAGAAGACGGAATTCGTCTGAATCGTGTGTAATGTGTATTTGCGAGCACAACACATTTCGAACAATCTATTCACACACGGACTTGTCATCGAAATTTATATGAAATTAATAAAGATTAAAGAGGTGAGGAAATAGAGTACTTAGGTCAAGTTAAATAGCTGCCATAATGAACGTCAAAATAACAATGAAGATCACTAAACCGAATAGCAGAAGTAATAGTACATCTGCTATGGTATTAAAACAAAATTCACCAAGGAAGGTTTAATGTGATGACAAATTGCTTTTGAACTCATAGAGGTGGTTTAGACTTCCTAAATGCCAGCTAGGGCTTCCACAAACTTTAGGATACTCCTCAAACACGTTTTATAGATAGGTTTGAAGGATCTGTTAACATCAATTTTATGTCCTGTATCTATAATATGTTTCGCAATGGAAGAGCTAGGTCTCCTGTTCTTAGCGTTAAAAGGTTCTGAAGATTCCGTTTGTTTCTGGAGCCATTTTGGTATATGCTCTGAAGCCCTTACTTGCTGACTTCGATGTGTAAGTACTCCCCATGTGCGTGTGTCCACACGTGCATACAAATTGGTAAATACAGAGGGATGTGACACCATTCTTCGCATGTTCAAAGGGCTTAGATAGAGATATTGGCTTTACATTCTGTATTATTATGATATTAGCTGCATAGAAAGTCTTTTTAACAGCAGAGTTCAATCTTTGTCTAGTTGTCAAGCTGCTATAATGCCCCATATAAGGTAGCTTGATGTACACATGTTTCTTATAGGCGAGTTGGAATGGGTCTTGGTGTTCTGTCTACTTTATACCTCCTGATGAATTGGTCTGGATAACTATTATTAACCTGAGTTTGTGTCAACTTTTTTTCTCCTTCATCAAGTGTGTCTTCAGCGCATATTTGTTGGATTCTACTGAAGAGACTTCTCGCTCACTAACGCTCCTGTTTTGTACCGAACAGGATAGAAACTGTGGTAAATAAGATACTGTCTTCCTCAAGTATGTTTTCTATAAATAGATCTATTTATTGACCCATCAAGCCGTCGATTAAGTAATATGTCTAAGAAAGATAAGCAATTATCTTCCTCTTCTACAGACATAATTGATATGCTAATCTGAACTTCATTCATTCGATTTAAAATTGAGATGGCAGAAAAAGACTTACCATCACTGACGACTACGATATCACCTACATACTTTCTATAAAGTGACACATTTTTGATTAAATCCTCTAATAAATTCTCAATGTACGACATATGTTAATATCTGTTAAAAAGAGCCCTAACAGACTTCCCATAGCAACATCATCCACTTGACGGAAACAATCACTTTCAAATGTAAACCTAACATTGTTAGTATATAAAAGTAATAAATCCCTGAAATAAGATATACGGAACGGGATGAAAAAATTGTCTGTGAAAACATAGTCATAGATTACTTAATTCAGACAAATTATGTCTTCTTATTTCTTTATCTAAATTCATAAAGGGAACGAATTGTTTTAAAAATAATAATGATAATATTCACCCACAGGATGGAGTATAGCAGAATAAAAATTATTATTATCATCAATTTTGCTGATTTTTTATAAATATTTTTTGTTGTTTTCTAGGAGACTCCTTTCGTGAATGTCTATCAAACGGAAGTTGGGCTGAGAAAGCCGATTATTCAAATTGTACTGTCATAAATCCGGTAGGTTTGTCATTCGGTGCTCTTTTTTTCATATTTCGTAGACATTCATAACTTACCAACTTTCTTTTTGATAACATTCATGTCACTCTTGCTCTTTCTACCTCCCTTTCTCATGTTGAACAGACAAAAAAATATTTCAGCAATGAACTATTATGATTTGAAAATCCCCATTCAGTTATATGAAAAAGAGAAGACGTTCAGCGAAGAGACTCTTTTCGACGGTGAATTCACATTCACACACATATTTGTGCGTGTGTGTGTGTACATGAGGTTTGTCAAAATTGGATAATTGATCAGGTAATACAAGAATGAACTAATATAGAAACAAGGTTAATTAGACAGCAATTAAAGTAAGATTGAGTTAGTCAGTAAGTTAGATGACGTAATATAATTGACTAAAATGTTTTAACCGGGGTCAGGGCGGCAACAGAGGTAATTACAGCTAGAGACTAAGTAAAAGTGGTGTAGAGAATAATGCCATTTAAATCAGAACTGAAATTGAGCAAATACGTTGGATGACCTAACATAAATGACTAGAAATTGAGCGTCAGTCAGGTCAAATAAAGTGGTAGTGAGGTGTAGAAATTAAATCGGTTGGGGGTAGAGAACAAGAAAGTTGAAAATGCAAATATTACAATTAAGAAGACAGAATAATACCAATGAAGAGACAGAAAAAAGGAAAAAAGATTAGATAGAATTTACTTTTTAGGTAATAAGATAGATTGAGTCCATTGTAAGTGTAGTGACTGAACAAACTTCTTCTGTATGCAGAGTTCAGGGCTTGGCAAGTGAATCGTCATTGCTTCTGCAGTTTGAAGAAGTCTGATTCGTACACCTTTAGGAAGATTACTTCTTACTCTGTAGACTACTTTGAAGTTTGTTTGGGGTGCAGCTTGGTGTCCCGATTCTATCAGATATTCTAAGATGGAGCTGCGGGGACATCGTTTTTCTCCTTTGTAAAACCATGCTGGTAAGGGTTCGGTGATACGCTTGGTACGGCCGACATTCCTGGCTCCACACGAGCAGGTGAGTTGATAAATACACATTGATCAGGCCAACAGTGGTAACTTATCCTTCACGTTCATATGAATCATAGGTTTTGTGGAGAAAGTTAGTCGTAGTTCAGCTGCGAAGAAGGTCTTCTTGAATGAGCGCGACAGTCTATTTCTTAGTGTTTCCGCAGATATATCTCCATTTAATAGAAGGTTCATATAGAGCGGTTTCTTCGGGACGCTATGCATGGGAGGCTTTTGTGGCCTAGGATTCATAGATTTTGCAATAAATCGTTTTGGGTAACAATTCTCAACGAGGATTCTCTTGAGATTGTCCAGTTCATCTTCTACGGTGCCCGGGTACAAATTCTTTTATTACCTCATCGATTATCTAATTCTGGCAAACCTCATGTACACACACACACAAATAATTATATATAAATGCGATTGTACAGCTATGTGATTGAATTCGCCGAAAAGAGTCTCTTCGCTGAACTTCTTCTCTATTATGATTTTATAAACTTGGTTTGGTTTCCTTTATTATAAAAGATATTACTGTTTTCACTGACGTTCTGCTATTTAATGCGGCTGCCACTGTTGTCTCTGGGTCCATTTTCTAAGCTTCTGCTGAGATACCATCTGATTCTGCTGCTTTTCCAGCTTTTAGCATCTTGATTGCATTCATGTCTTCTGATTTCATCGTGAAGTCAATGTTCACTGCTGGTTCTGCTTCCGTTGTTGGTATTCTTGAGCGCGTCGTAGGTGGCGTTCGATTTAGAAGTCTTTCGAAGTGTTCAGTCAAGTTTTTTCTTTGCTCCACTTCTTTGGTGATTGGCTTTCCATTGTCATCCTTTACTGACTTAATCTGCGTCGAACGTTTGCCCGATAGGTACCCAGTTGTTTGGAACTCTGCTTCCAAAAGAGGAAGTTTGTTCAGTTATTATGTCTACAGTGGAGCTGATCCATCTTAACACTAAATACGTGATTTTTGTTTCGTCTTCTTGCTTGTTTGTTTCTTGTTTAATTGCATAGTGTTTTCTTCCCTACCCCTTCCCATAATAAATCTTCACCGCTTATTAGTACTGTTTGTAACTTGACCTTTGTTCACTTTTTAATTTTAAGTGACTTGCAATTAACCCCGTCAATTAGATTACGTCATCCGAATAATATCTTTATCCTGAAGACTATGTCCATATATATTCAGTAGAGAATTTCCGTGTCCGTGACTTATCTCCTTCTTGTACAGAGCTTTTAAGGCAGGAAAGTAGTAATCTGCTGTGGGTCATTCTACAAAATACGCCATGATCCTTGATCATTTTGTCCCTTCACAGAGTCCTATGACCTATTATACTGAAAGCAATTGGAAAATGTGCATACATACAAACTGTTCTTCAAGGTGAGTAGCAGATGGTTGAAACGAAGCGATCTTGAGACGACTTGATGCATTAAGCTGTACAGAAAGCTGGACTGGTAACCGCCGTCATCGGATTATGAAATCTAGTTGGATGATTAGGTCAAACTTTAGAACTAATCTATTCCATGTAAAATGGATATTAATATAAGAATAGAACTTGTGCTGTGCAGTAAAGTATAACTGCAATGTGGCTGAAATTTATTTAGATAAATTATCACAGTGTTTGTTATACAGTAATACTTGATGTTCACTGGTAGTTCTGCTTCCGTTGTTGGTATTCTTGAGCGCGTTGTAGGTGGCGTTCGATTTAGAAGTCTTTTGAAGTGTTCAGTCCAGTGTTTTCTTTGCTCCACTTCTTTGGTTATTGACTTACCATTTATTTATTTTATTTTATTATTTTTTTGATTCCACACCGTATTTATGGTACAAGTATGGAATTTTCAGCATGGATATCGGTAGCCCTAAATTCGCAGGCCGACCATAGATATCAGGTGTGCGTCGGCGTGGGGTCGAACCTCGGACCATGTGCATGGTCGGCGAGAGTCCTAACCACTGTGCCACTGTGTCATCCTTTACTGGCTTAAACTGTGTCGAATATTTGCCCGATAGGTCTGTTTACATGACGAAAAGGAATCGTAAAACCAACATGAACCTTGATTAGGCTTTATATTAGTGCATTGAAAAATGAGTTTATGAAGTTTCGCCTGTCAACTGAAACTATTCCGCTTTGGTTGTATTCTCTGAGTGTTGGTTAATTTAACTGTGAAGATTTCAGTGTCCTTCTGGAGAAGGTCTTCAGTGCGCCGGTGGCACAGTGGTTAGGACTGTCGTCGACCATGCACATGATCCGAGGTTCGATCCCCTGCCGACGCACACCTGACATCTATGGTCGGCCTGCAAAATTTGGGCTACCGATATCCATGCTGAAAATTTCATACCTATACCAAGAAAATACGGTGTGGAATCAAGCTGTAAACCAAAATATTAAATATTATTAGTATGAAGCGAATTTATTTGAATTCTTCACACGAATGATATAATTGTATCTTCTGACAAATATTATCGTGACTGGCTGGTTAATTTAGTTGGTAAATCTGTGTGTTTTTGTTAATTGATTTGTTAATTAATGGCTGACTGACTTAACATTTGTGTTGAAATCGCGAACCATGTTCTTTATTGTGGCTGAGTGTAGAACACTTCCAAACTGATCTCCGGTTGATGAAGACATACCTTGCCTGCTTGATATCATAAAGACTAATTAAAAAACCAAGTATAATGCGCAAAACGGTATGCTACTGGCTGACTGACTGAGGTGAATAGTTGTATACTACCCCTCGAAATGTGCATATTGTGTATTCCTAACTAACTGAGAAATAGGGAATCTAATTTATGGTATCAGTGGCTAGTCCAAGTAGCTAGACAGAAATCAGATGTTTTGAACTGATTCTCCTCCCCGAGATAAGTCCAACCGGATACACACAGTCGATTAGGTTGGCCGGAGACCAGCGAAATGTTTGTCCAATGTTGAAATCATTTCTATCTGCCTGGTTAGCAAGCACTACTGGTCAATCCAGGAGGTATATAACTACTCATCTCTGTAAATAAGTAGTATAAGAGGTATGAGTAAGAAGTTGTTCAAAATGTCTATTTTTCGTCCACTATTGATCATACCTCTGTGACCACATCTACTCGTCAGAAATATGCATTCATCATCCTACTGGAGAATAATGAAATTCCCAGTTAACAAAGAGAAAATACAGAAACTGCTTGTTATTGTGTACTTATTGAAATCATTTTATTCAAAACATCCTGTCAAATGTAAATTTTAGAAATTAATGGTTATTCTTGCTTAGTGTACTAAAAACCATCTTTAGTTATTTGGGATTTGGTAAACAATTTCTTCTACCAAATGTATAAAGTTAAGTATAAGTGCTTATTTATGTACAAGATGAGAAAAATAAAAGATTCAACCAGTGTCCACTACTTTTAGTAACCGCGAAATTAGATTGAATGTGAAAGCATATTCGCATATATATGTATATATAAATATATATGTTGATGAGTTTCATGGTCACTTTCGTCGAAAACTCATATTCGTCTGTTGACTTGATGGGATTTCATTTGCTGGATTGTCGAGTTACATGCATCTATTGCCGAAGAGCCCCTTGTTAACACGAAATGAATGTTGTGATCCACCTGATTATGAGTGGTTCGCTTAGTTAACGCATTCTCCTAATCTACTCATCCTTTATATATATATATATATATATTGTATATATATGGTTTGTTGGTAGTATACAAAGAACACACCTGGCGCCTTGTTCAGGATGACCAAGAATGCTCTGACCCCTGGCGAAGGGTCATTATTGCATTTCGGTGGGTTGAAACTCGCGGCGGCACCTGATTAGGTGCACCCAAGCGTGTAGCTTTTATCAGTGGGCAAGCCTCACTGTCCTGCCCTTATTTTACGTCGATGGCACGGCGGTTATGACTCTTGCTTACCATGCACATGGTCAGGGTTTTGATACCCTGTTGACACACACCTGATATCAATGATGGACCTGAAAAATTTGGGCCATCTATATCACATGCTG